TATGTAAATGAATTATCCATCCATTATCTATACACCGCTTAATCCTCACTAGGGTCACAGGGGGGCTGGAGTCTATCCCAGCTGACTTAGGGGGACACCCTGGACAGGTCACCAGTCTATCACAGGGCTACACTTAGAGACAGACAACCAAGCACACTCACATTCACACCTACGGACAATTTAGAATCACATATTTTTGGACTGTGGGAGGAAGCCGGAGAACCCGGTTAGAACCCACGCTGCACGGGGAGAACAAGCACACTCCATGCAGAAAGATCCTGGGTGTCCTCACTGGGACGCAAAAAGAAAAACAGAAGAACGATCCGCACACCAAACAAGCTCCCTTTGACAATTTATTGCCGTGACGTTTCGAGCAAAATGCTCTTCCTCAGACTGCTCACCGGGACGCAAACCAGCGACCTTCTTGCTGCGAGGCAACGGTCCTAACCACTGATCCACCTTGCAGTTCTAAATGAATTATAGTTACTGATATATTAATGGACATATCACTTGAAAGTTGCAGGTTGTAAATGTGGAGCTGGTTTTAACTTCTTAATATCCTGCTAGGTTTAAGTTATAAATACAACCACAATAGCATAATACGTTAATTCTATCATGTAAAATAGCATCTAAAGCCAAGTGTAATGGGGTGAAAAGTACATCTACCTCCCAAATACAGTGGATTAGAAGCATGAAATACAACAGAACGTCTACAGTTGTCTCAATTATAGAACAAACTGAAGGAAAATCTATGAAATATTCACTTTAGATTTACTGACTGTCAAAGTTTTAATTTTAGATTCTTCAAAGCAGCCACTTTTGGCTCTGTTAACAGCTTTGCACTCGCTTCATTTTCTCAACCAGCTTCATGAGATTGTCTCCTGGAGCTTTTCCAACAATCCTGAAGGAGTTTCCACATGTGCAGAACACTTGTTGGCTTCCTATTCTCATCCAAAACCGTCTCAGCTGGGGTTAGGTGGGTGATTGTGAAGGTCAGGTCACCTGATGCAGCATCACTTCATCACTCTGCTTCGGGTTCAAACAGCTCTTACGGAACTTGGGGGAGTCGGATCGCGTTGCTGCAAGATGTTGTTGGTTACGTGTTGACTGATGTCGAAACAAGTTACACCAGCAAAGCCCCGCCGCAACTCCTCCTCCATGTCTCATGGTGGGAAACCACACATGCAGATAAAATCCTTTCACGTTTCTGCATTCTTCTGACCAAAGTTCAAGTTTTCTCTGCTCTAATGTCCATTCATTGTGTTGCTTGGTCCAAGCACTTATTCTTTTTCTTGGTCTCCCTCAGTTGTGGTGTCTCTGCAGTGGTTCCACCACAATGGCCTGATTCACAGTCGTCCTCGCAGTAGCCAACACTAGTATCACAGCTGGAATAGTCACCATGGCCTGTTCCGCTAACTGCCTCACCAGAACTGGCTAAAACTCCTCCCTAGTCTTCAGGTGGCACTTGTGGTGGGTATTTACGCACTCAGACCCTGCAGGCCTGGCGAAGCAATCGAGAACTGGCAACCGCGGCTGCAGCCTCGGATGTGCCCCCGAGACAACCGCGCCAGCCGCCTTCTCACCACGCTACCAAAACCCCCCCAACAGACTCCAAGGGAATCTGCTCTGAAGCTTAAACAGGGACAGGACCACAGGAACTTACCATAAGTGTGGAGCTACAGAAACAACAGAACTCCGACACGTGCACCAGCATCACAGCCTGGGGACACAAACCCTGTCTTCTGAGCAAACTGCTGGATTACTTTAGATGCAAAAGCCGCTTAATCCGACTCCAGAAAACACTCACCACACATATTGTCTCCTAACAACCAGACTTATGCAGTTGTTCACCAAGTCTACCTGCCAAAATTGGATCTACTAAGGTGTGCCTTGCATCTGTTACATCTTGGCTCAAAAACTGTAACAAAACCAGGAGACAACTGTGTGGTGACTAAAAAAGGAGGTTTATTTTAACCAAAACCAATCAAAAGCTCTATCAAACAATCAAATAAAACCTGAAAACCATGCTGCTGGTGTTCCTGGTGAAGGGAGGCTCTTGTCAGAGAGATCTTGTTGCATGATGGAGGCCTTTTACAGCAGAACTGCTGGGCCCAGGTGTGGCTCAATCAACTGATGACCCTCATCCAGCCTCTACATCAAAAAATACAGGTGGAGGGTCATCACAATATATGCTAGTGTCTGGTTGAAATGCATCTGCTGTTTGAACTCCTGGAAGCACCGATGTTCACTCTGTTAAGTGTTGATTTGTGACTCTAGTGAACGTCTCTGCAGCTGAGGAGGCTCCTGGTCCTCCCTTCTTGGAGCGGTCTTCACGACAGCCGCTTTCGTCACAATGTTTGGATGTTTTTGTGATGGCATTTTAGAAATTTTCAAAGTTCTTATCATTTATTGACTTAGCTCCTTAATATGGATTAATACAGTGGTTGATTTGGGCTGTTTGCTTGATAGCAACACCACCTCAGCACAACACAAGTCATGATCTCGAACACATATTTTAGTTTAAGATGCATTTCTGTACAAGAAACTTCTTTCTGCTCCTGTAATTGTAAAAAAATGTACTTACTCGTATCACTGCACTACAGCACTTGAGTTTATGTTCTTGCAGAGAAATTAAAGTGAGGCCTGTACCTCAAGGCAGCACTCACATCATGTTTAACTCTGAGTTTCTCTCTCTCATTGATATGTCGCCATGGTAACTTATGCTGCACACCTAACCTGATCTGGAGCAGGTTATGTTGGACACATATGAATGAAGCGCCTCCTGACCGGTGTCTTCTGTTGGAAAATGGCATCACCGTTGCTCAAAAATCTAATTGAGCCCGGTGAGCAGATAGTGAGGGGAAGGTTTATAGAGACGACTTAAACCCTTTGGCTTTCCTGAAGAGCAGATTTAAGACAAAGGTTAGTTGATTCTAAGCAGAGGGAACTCTAATCTTCTTTTGGTTTTTTCCTGTTGGCTGCCAACAATTTCAGAACAATTGTTCTATTAGCCTTTTAGTGCTGTAATAAAAAAGAACAGGGCCTGAATAAAACCTTCCACTTGTTGACCTAATTAGAAATGCAGACAGCCTAGCCCCTGCTTAAGGTTATGTTTTTACATTTGTTCTCGACCTTTCCAAAAAATTGTGTAACTGCAGCTGAAACAATAGGGCAAAAAAAAACAACTGTCTCACATGCCACAAGAACAGGCTACATCTAAGCAACAGCTTTCATTGAATGATCAGCTGCAGCCTGATTAAAGTCAGATCTACTCGTCCCTTACAGATGGGGAGGTGATATTGATAAGTCTGGTCAGCAGGTTTTTATCAATTCTGGCTGCAGCAGGTGTGCTGCTTTTAGCTGGAATACATTTCAGCAATCCTTGTATTGGTTTAGGAGTATTGTTTGTTCTCTTTTTGTGAGAAATGTGCAGCTCTTAACCTGTCCATGTTGTGAACGGTCATCTGGTGCCAGCTTTGCCCGCCCTTTTGTGTGGACATGCTCAGAGATTGATTCAGAGACTCTGGCCAACTTGCTGAGGTGACGACCATGTTGGTGTGACCGCTAAAGATGTATTTAGTTGTTTAGTAAAGCCAGATATAAAGATACTCTAGATAACAGTCAACAAAATACTAATTAAATAGATGGACACTGAATCAATCTAGTAGACTACTTACATACCTTTTAGCTTTTTTTTAAACTTAATATTGCAATCACATTTGTATCAGCTGCGACACTTTATCGAGGCCATTGGGTGCACGCATTTTAGTTGTCCTCAGCTAATAACAACACACAGCTTACAGTGTCTCTGGCTCAGCATTCCACCCGGCCTCAAGACGTATGTGGGGGCATAACACGTGCCTCCATGTCCACATTTAGCATCGCTGCAACTCTTGAAGGGCAGCAGAAGCCGAGCACACTCATCAGGGTCAGTTACCTTCTCACACTAGCGCTGACTCATGACTCTGGCACGCTGCTGTCGGGGAGCCAATGCTGGTTCAACACAAGTCTGCACATGGGTCGAGTCTACACGTGTCTGGATGCAGCAAACGCACCAGCGGATACTGTAGCATCTATATATATACATACAGAGACACAGACACAAGACGAGTCTAAACTTGTGAGATGCATTCTGTGCTTCAGTGAAGAAGCAACAACAGCTGCTGATAGCTTAAGAGCAGAAAAACTGGGCAAAAGATCCTCATTTACATATTAAAAAATGAAGTCTAAAGTAAGTTGAAATGAAGCAACACAGCAAACTGCAATTCCCGTGTTTGCAGTGGGCTCCAATGTGCCATTTTTCAAACAAAGCAAACCATGCCATGGAATAAATGAGCTCCGCGCAACCACAAACACGCCAGGAATGGCCTTGATGCACACGATTTCACACTAAATCACATCAAATGCTCGCCACTTCCTTTTAATGCCAAGCGACAATGGCGATGAAACAACTCCAAAGCGAACAAGAAGTGTGTTTCGAATTCTGCTTCAAAACAGGATACAGAGGGATGACAAATGGGAAAAAAGAATCACCAGACATATTTTTGTTTTTTTAGCAGTGAGGAGCATATGGCAGCCAGAAATGCCTTTACAGAATAAAATCTCCATCAGTTCTCCTGGATTGTAATTCAAGCTGATTTAGAAAGCATCACTTTTAGGGTTTGTTATATTTAGCAAGACCTCTTTTATGACTTTGAGGAAAGGTGGTGAAATATGCTGAAAATTCTCATTTGCATCTTACAATGCAGATGTGCAGCAGACATTTAGCAGATTTAAAGTCATGTCACTTCGGGGTATAAATGAGCATTTGCAGGAATGTGAACATACCTGCTGGAGGGATGTGGCTGAATTATGCAAAAATAGGTTGCTTCCTTGTACGTTATGTTTGATTTGGTGACAGAACACAAGAAGTTTGGTTTCATTTAAATATTCAACGTGCTTGCCTGAGCCTGGCCTGCTCTAGAAACCAACACCTGAAATAAAATACAATCACAGAATGCTAAATTAGAAACAGCAAAATATTTATTCACCAGTCAAAACATAAACTTCAAAATATGAGGTCTGACGACTGAACTCCACACAGTGATGCATGCATGCCAAGACTTCTGTTACCCGACGACGTTTGTTTCATGGTAACCTTTTAAGTGCTAAAACAGAATGGGTGTACTGCACATACTATACTGGCTTCTGGATTTCTATTGGAAGGGAGGGAAGGCTTTGTTATGTCGGCAATAAAAACATAGTGACAGTGATTTGAAACGTACTTTGTTTGAAATCAGACCCAAATTTACACATTAGGTGGGTTCCGGAAAGCAAAGAGAGTTTCATAAAACATTGTAGTCTAAAAGGTGACACATTTTCAACGGGAGGGGAGGTGTATTAGTCAGTGAATGTAAATAGGCATGTCTTGGAGAAGAGCTTGCAGCATTCATGCAAGATGATGGGTGTTTTTGGTACGTGTTTCTTTATCAGGGAGTGGGATGAAGAGTCTATCCGAACTGGGATTCTCCCTCAGTACCAAGTGGCTGAAAACGGGTGGCAGTGGTTGTGGTGGGTTATCAGTTCTCGAGGAAAGCCACGTAGTCAGTGAGTCTGGCCAACTGCTGCTCATTTGGAACCAAAGAAACAGGGGGAGGATCTGTTGAGAGAGAGAGAGGAGAAAGACACAGAGGAGAAGTTGAGTCAGAGGGGGATTCCTTACTGGGCCAAGTGCTATCGATCTTCTTGCTCTCTCTCCGGTTGTGCTCGGCTGATACGGCCCACGTGGTCCAGCTCAGCAGGAACCAGCAGGTTTCATGTTCACCACGATGTCCACATCTGCGCATGAGCTCACCGCTTCCACCGGCCTGTTTATCAACACTACCTGCACAGCCTCCCCCATGTGACCGCAACACTTTACATTCATCCCGAGCACAGTGATTTCCTGAGTGAGATCTACTCAACAAGCAAAATCACCAAGTGCTGCTAAGTTCCAGTGGTTGCGTTGTGAAAGCCAGACATTTAAAGAAAAAGAAGAGAAAAAAAACAGACGAGTGGGGATTAATGGTGAGTGGGTTAGCGGTGGACATGTGTGCAGCAGATGCTACAGTAACGCAGAAAGGTCTAGTGATTACAGAGAGGAGGACGGACCGCAACCTCCTCCTACATGTCCTCGAATCAGACGGATCAATCCGTGACCCTGTGAGTTGAGGACATGTCATGACGTCAAATCAATTCTGATAAAATAAGGAGAGAAAAAAAAAAGGAGCAGAAAAGTTTGGCGAGTGTGAACATATAAAACATTTCAATAGATTCTCAGAAAAGGAAAACGTCATGAGTCTTTCATTGAGATTGACATGCCTCCTAAATCCCTGCTTGCAACATTTTTATGTGTCTAATAAAACCTCGGAGGAAGAGAAGCAGGGAGGTGGGTGAGGGTTACTCCTGAAGACAAAATCAACACGTTGTGATGGGTACTGTTTAAAAGACCAATACTGCCACCTACCTGGCTTTTTGGGCATCACCATCCTGGTAGCGGGGTCGGCCTGCCAGCCTTGGCTCACCACACCTTTGGACAAAGACCAGGAGGGAAGAAAACAGTCATTAGTGAATGCAAACATGGTAATGCAATGGAAATTACCTGCATTACACCCTATAGGATTACTTCAGCTGTTTTTTCTACTAAAAATCTCTCATGTTCTAGTTATTTGCACAAAATGATTCATGCTCAGATGTTTCCGGTTATGCCATATGGTCAGTCTTACCCTTTACTGCCTCTTCCACAGAGTAGCCCACGAAGGCAGCGAAGTCTTCTGCTGTGATGGAAGTGTACGCCTGAGCTACGAGACCGTACGCCCTTTGCCGCGTGCTCTCTGTGAAAGACATCAACATCAGATAGGTGCATATGGAGTTCATATGGGCTAAATCTGTGCTCTGGTTCTATTTAAAATGCACAAAGTGCACGGGCAGCAGTGGCTCGCTGTGATCCTCCAGCGTATGTTGCAGCATTTTAACGTGGTATTTAAGCATGATGTCTCGTGTAAACAAAGCTGCTTAATGAGCAACAGCACTGGAGGCTGAAGACGGAACAACAATTAATCAGGAACGAAAGGTTTGTGAAGCCGGGGGCTGTACTCTGCTACGATCATCAGCAATCATGGAGGAGTGTGTTTTGGTAAAATGTCAAGCTAATGCTGGAGGTCTGCACAAAACTTTTAACATTTTGAGTTTGTCCTAATCTTGCAATTGTTTCCACTTAAAGTTTGGTTCTGGTAGTTCTGTAAGTTCGACAAGTCACTTCCTCTCACTCCAAACAAGCACACGGTCAGTTGCGGCTCCAGATCAGAAGCTGGTCTTGGTTTTAAAAAATTAAACAAAGTTTGTCTCCACAAAAGCTCTGCATTGTCCTTCTTCAACTGCTTTGACCATCTGGCTTTGATTCTAACCAAATGGGGCATTTTGTTGTTGGAGAGCTTTTGATTTGACCGTAATGAACATATGAGCTAAAAGAAATTCCATAATCAAGGATACTTAACGCAACATCTTGTTAAATGAAGCATTGGGAAGACAAATCATGGATGGCATACGCAGAGAAGGGCTCACACCACAGACCACTGACATCTTTATCAGCAGGCACTAGCTACAGCTTCCAGACGACCCCGTTTATCTTGACATGCTGCTGTAATTGTTGAGATTAGTGTAGGAGTGACGGGGCCTCATGACAACACACAATAGCATACATTTGCTGCCGCTCCTGCAGCTATCACGTAAATGCCTTAGGGTTGTGGCCTTCGGTGTTTTATAGCCTAGCAACGGGTTATGTGTACCAACAGTCAGCCCTGAGTCTGCAGCAGTAACAATAACAAGTGGGATGAGAAAAGACAGCTGTGTAGGGGAAGGCCGGAAATTTTGTCAAGAGCTCTTTCCCATTCTAATGTCCAAGGAGCTTCCTGTCCTCTATGTTATTGTACTTGTCGAAAATGAAGCAGAAAAGTTAAAGATATTCACCTGGAAAACATCGTGAACACTGAACTTTTATTCTGTTATGATTTTAATCAAGTTGCGGTTGTAGAGTCATATCTGCAGTTCATGTTTAAACATCACGGTGATTTAAACGGAGCATTATATTGAGGACATATGGATAAAGTGGTGCTGTTTAGTTGTTGGGGTGTTCACCTCTGATGAATAACATTCCCCCCCTTCTCAGTCAGCATAAAACTCCCATCTGTTCAAAGTAAACTACAGGTCATAAAACTGCTTGTTGTGTTGGAACAACCTTCTGCAGATTAGTGCGCTCCCAAACAAGCAAAGCAGGTCATCTAAAGGGGCTTTCTGAAACTCAGTCCCTTGGAAGCCATGTATTTTTACCGTGGCCTCTTGACCGCTCGAGGATGGCTCGTGTGCCAACCGGAGCGGCCTTTCTTAGCGTGCCCTTCTGACACTTCAGAGTTGGGTTGGAGCTGCTGAGCAAGATGTCCGCGAGTGGGAGGATGGGAGTTTTATGGAGGAGAAACAGGACCTGGCCTGTCCTTCTCTGACAGTCTATTCCAGGGCTGCTATCATTTCTCACCCTCTCACCTCTTAAAAATAGCCCTCACTTTTCACCAGCAAAGGCAAAGCAGACAGGACATGGCAAGGGCTTTTATTTTTAAATACAGCCGATTGCCAAGTAAGAGCAGCGACAGACTGGGAAACGTTTTGACGGCAAGAAAAGCTATGCAACCAAAATAATACTTGGTCACCATAGGCGTTTTTCTTTTTAATGCCCCCTTCATTTAAAAAAATAAAATAAAATCATGTTTGAAATTAGGCCTAACAATAGAGCAAGTTGGTGTTTAACTTCATGCAGCTTTATTCCACGAACCAGAAGAGACACATTTGGTAATTACAGACCAATCAGCTGATCACCAATTAAACACAAACTGACAAAGTGAGAAAGGAAATCTACTAAAATAAACATTTCTATAAGCTACACATGAAGAACATGATCAATCTTCAGACATTCTGTATTTACATTTCTGTAGACCTATTTTCCATTTAACTGGCTTCAAAGTACAAAAGTATAAAAAGATGTTAAGAAAAGGTACGAATACGACATTCAACTTAAATATTGCACTGACAGTAGTGGCAAGCCATTTAGGCCACGTCCATCCTAGCCTTATATTTCATTCAATATCCAACGGACAGTCCTTGTGATGAACACTTCCTTATTTCAAAAAACTTCCTAAAGCACGTATTACAATACTAAAGTCCATAACAACTTCTGTTTTCATTATTCCTCCTCTTCCTCTTCCTCCTCCTCCTCTTCTTCCTCTGCATCCTCAAATTCATCATCATCACCACCACCAACTCCAAAGTCCATCTTGGAAAGGACTGCTTCAACATGCTCTGTTGCCACAGTGAAGTGGTCCATCTTCTCAAAGCCTGGCTCTGGTCTGTCTTCCCCCATTGAGGATTTGGCTGCATCTTTGGTCTGTGTGATAAGGCCCTTTGAAGCCAAAAGAAACTCAGCTGCTCCACTCTGCTCCAATGCCCTCACAGCCGAATCTGTCAGCTCCGTAGTAGCCTGCAGTCGTTCACCATAACGCTGAGCCAGTGCCCGCAGAGCTGCCACCTTTTCATCTTGCTCTTTCCCAATCTGCTCCAGTAGAATGGTCTTGCGCTCTTCTAAGACAGCGTATAACAGATCGAAGCGTTCACCCAGCCCTTGCTTAGCACGCTGAGCGTTGTCTTGTACGGCACGGCAGGCATCTTCCATCTGGTTGAGGAGAGCCTGCAGGCGCCCATTGCTGGCCACCAGGGTATCAATAGCATTACTCAATTCACCTTTCTGGGTCTGGTAAACACTTGCTAAAGGGGCCACCTCGCAATCCTTATGCTGGCCAAACACTTTGCACATGGAGCAGGTGGGCACCTGGCAGGTCACACAATAGATATTGATTTTCTCATCTTCATGCTCTTGGCACAAAGGTTCTTTGGTTTCTTTTGGCTTCAGGGTGGTTTCTGTGCTTCCACTGTTGCTGCCTTCTTGCTGCTGCTTATAGATGTCGATGATATTTTCCACCAACAAGTTGCGCTGGAGGCCATGTACGCCATGGCGGTCAAGCACGACCTCAAACCGGCAGGTAGGACAGCGAAAGACGCCACCAGAAAAGCGGTATGGGTTGCGCGAGTCATACAGGTCACTGGCACAGCTACGGCACAGGTTGTGCTGGCAGGGCAGGATGACCACGGGTTTGGTGAACATATCCAGGCAGATGGGGCAGCTCAGCTGTTTCTCAAGGCTATCCATGGGGCTCGGAGGTCGAACCATAGATCCTGTCCTCTGGACGTCCATTGTGCAAAAGTCTTTGACTATACCTAGATGAGTAGTTTAGCTGATTTCCACAAATTACTTTGGTGGAGAGCAGACTCTGAGAACGTCCTCTTTGCGTTTCCTGTCACTTGTGAAATGCTGATATCTATTCTGGTTTAGAGCTAGCAGCTCTGTCCTTTATACCAGCCCCTCACAGCTGGTGACACCCGATCCTCTGCGCCAACCAGAGCACACATTCCTGCTTACTTGCCGGCCGGGGATCTTTTCACAGAATTGGCCCCCTCCTACCCAGTGCAGCATGTGTCACCTGTCCCAGTGAGCTCTGTGTCCCCTTTAACAGTGACACAAGTGGTAGACGGAGCAGAGACAAACAAGGTGCATGTGACTGGTGCAGAGGAGCCCCACCTGGGACAGCGAGCTCAGTCTAATTGGTAAACAACTCCATGTCAACATCCTGTGACAGTTGTTTTTCCATTTAATCTATTTTGATTTGTTGTCATTTGCCTGGTTTGTTATGTATAGAGGCTGCTTGGTTGAGAGTATTTTACACATGCTGTTGACATAAATATTTCAATCTGAATTAACTGATGACACTGACAGGTCTGATTACTTCTGTTATTAAAGTAGATTAATATGACATAATGAAGTTTAAAAAAACAGCAACTTGCTAATAAATTCTTCCCAAAGTTCACAATGTACGTATTTGTCTTTGTTTCTTTTAAAAGTGAATATTTTAGGGCTTCCACCTGTTGATCAGACTGGATAAAAAAATGTTACCAGGTTTAGGTTAAACAGGATGCTGGAACTTGGCTCTTGTTTTTTAAATAGCAGCTATTTAGATGTAGCAAAATATTACTTTAACACAAACAATGGTAAGACAATAGTGTCAACAGTCAATAGAGTGTATGAACCGTTCCAATGGTAAATACCAAGTCATTTACAAAGACCTGTATACTGATAATGTCCCTTTACAAAAAATATTTTATTAATACATATATATATTTTTAGGGTAAAATGTACTCATTTAGATTCAAACAGTTAATTCCTCATGTGCACCACACCACCAAGCAGCCATTATCGGTGGTTACCTAAGTGTCTTATGACATACTGTACGTCAGCATCAATGGCAGATCAACACAAAGTCCGGTAAACATGAGGGACAAGCTATTCTTAAACTCTTGCACAAGGGAACCATCACATGGTACAAGTGCGACAATTTTATACAATAATGTTTCCGCAGACTTTTTTTTTTGATGTTAAACTATGTGTAAAATCAAGACACACTATAAATCCCTACATATTGTGTTGTTTTATCACTGGGACACAATTTTCTGTGCTTGTACGAGCAAGTAGACTGAATGTCAGAGTACTGTGTTGTATCCACTTGAACTTCTCTTCATTGTACTAATAAGCCATACTGCTGGAAAGCAAAGTGCTATAAACAGTCAAATTTGCTGCTTTAAGTTCTTAACATGTTTTATATCCCCACTCATGCTGGATTTCATCACAGCTGCAACTGTTATCAGCTGCTGCCCCCTGCTGACTGAGATTCTGAATCATACAACAGGAATGTAAATGTTAATTTAGCACTCCTACACGGGAGTTTCCCCAGAACTAACTGTGCAAATCGTATATATAGTAGTGCTATTAATGTGAAAAGCTTCATGAGATATCAAAGTAATGGGGGTAAAAGATAAGATGGGACATGTTTTTGGTCGTTACCTCGCAGGGCCTCCATGACCGGAAGGATATTCTCTGACCATTGGAAAGCCGCGATGGCTGTGTAGATCCCTGGAAAGTCTCTCTGCCAAATGCGCTGGCCAACAGCCCAAATAGCTGTTAATTCAGGGTTTGCCTGTATGCAACAAGTGGAAAGCATTTAGCATGATACGACTGACACACTTGTGGTGGTTTACATGCTACAGTCAAGAGCCTTCACACCCAGATACTCTGGATGCTTAATCGCAGTGGTTACATTCTGTAACTCTCAACTGAAATGACATTTGAAACCCAACTAACTGTGGTGTATTTATTTAAGGTGAGGCTTTTAATATACAATCTGATGAGAAATAATGATCTGACTGACATCGTAGGGTCACAATCTAACGTTATACCATTTCTTATTTCCCTCAGGTCTCTAAGCAGGCCTAGACTGTCATCATGGGGACTGAACTATTTGCCAGCATTTAGGCAATTAGATGAATGAAGACATCAACTATATGTGTTAATAATAACATTAATACTTTTTAATTTCTTGAGCAATGTTTCTATAAGCACAAAGTAATTGCATAGAGGTAAAGATGGTGTGTTTTCAATATTAAATACAGTGTGGTCAATGTAATATGCTTTGGCTGATGTCAAAGTGGCTGATTGTTTGCATATCAGACTCCTCTGTACTATGCAGTTTGATTTTTCTGTCAGATATTGCAATTTGACTTGCAAAATACTTTTTTAAAGTTAGCAAATCTTCAGTTCAATATTCACCTTCTAATAGATTTAAAACATGTGATGAAGCATTAACACTTGAGACACCACAAGCTCATCTCATTTCACTAGTTTTAGCCTCCTCAACTCCTCGATCTTTCGGCCCATGACTAGAAAATCCATCTTGGATCATAACAAAGGACGTTTCAACTCCTAAAATGCATTTTGAGGATCAAGGGGCTGCTGGAGGAGCTAGGATCAAGGATGCACAGGTGTGTCCTCCCTCTGTCCTTGATTGTGTCTTTATTTCTATATATGTACACAGTACTATTACGCGTGCCACGACTATTGTATACTTCACATTGGACGTTAAATACAAAATGATGACATCTGTACATTTTTGTCGTGACTTGAATTCTAAGTAAAAACATAAACTACATAATATCATACACAGTGTTCTGCTCCTCTGACAGAGATCAAAAAACACAGTGGTAGGTTATTCTAAAGCAATGGACAGATAATGCAGCTGTGCCACATGCCATATTTAATTGATGTCACTTTAAACTGTCACTCCGAGGTCAGGATGTCTCATTTTGTTAAAATCCTGATGCCTCAACTCCTCTCTCCTTGGATCTCCTCCTCGCCTAATCCTGCTTGAATCCCCAGTGGTAGGAAAAATAAAACGCCTGGAGAGCAGTTGAGGAAAGGAATCGAGGATGTGCAATTTGAGAAATGAACCATTTACACAACAGCATAGACCCTGGGTCAGATGGGCTACAAAATGTAAGAGATTCAACAACAAGACTGGGATTATATCAGTTGAGCTGCAGCATACATGTCTGAACCATACAGTACAAATTGATGAATGAGCAGCATAAACAACTCCTGCAAGTTTCAATCTGTTCAAATTAAATAAAGCAAAACAGAAAAAATGCCATGTATTTTACTGAAATGGATTTTAGCACAACTTCCTTAGTGGCTTTTCCATATGTCTTAACATGCTTACCGATTTTATTGCTTGTGGAATCCTCTTCCATAGATACCTGGCATTATTCCTGTTGGGCCAAAGTCGACGCAAGTTAGTCAGTACAGAGAATAAAGTTTTACATTTTATAGTGTCATCCAGCCCATTTTGCTATATGGGAGTCAAGTATGAGGTTCACTCAGTCTTCCATTGGCATTAACACCCAACACAATCTTTACATGAAGAATTCTGCAAATACACACACACGCAAAACACCAACAAATGCACGCAGAGCAGAATTAGGCAGATACTCATTGATGATAAACATTCAAAAGAAAGAAATTTAACATTTTAATCACTTGGAATCCTGTCCCTTTGACAATTTCCATTTCAAAGCCTTTCAAACCAAAGAGCTGAGTCCAAAAAAAAAAAAAAAAAAGAGTCCGTCTTCTCACACATACTATCACCAGGCGCAAACACACTTTGCTTTACAAACACTCAAGAGTAAAACAAATTACAACCCAATGTCAAGAAATCTATTGTGAACACTGGAAATACTAAAACAAAAACCCAAAGCACATTAAAATGCTACCTGGCACTGAAAGTGATTAGAAATTGCCAGAATTTCTCTACTGGTGGACACATGCAGCAGGAACAGATCCTAACCAAGTACAGGATCAATGACCACACGCTGGTCATGACAAGCAAAAGAAAACAGAATGTGTGGTCTCTGTTGGACAGAGAGACAGAGATACACGCCCTCCGAAAATGTAAAAAAAGTCAATGAAATAAGGAAAAAAAACTTTAACTAGTTCAACACAAACACAAGTTCAATGCTCTATTTGTAATGTTATCCCTTTCAATCAGGGATAGACCAGCTACTCAAGTTATTATTTCATCCAGGAAAAAAAAAAATATAGATATGTATTGCATACATGTATATACACATACAGATGCCTCCATCATTAATAAAAATCCTTGCGGACACCACTCAATCAGTTACAGAAGACACACACACACACACACACACACACACACAGCTGACTTACATGTCATTATTGAGTAAATACAGCGCCAGCAGCTGAGCGTAGACTTGAGGTGTTGCAATGCCCCCTGGAGCCTGTTGAAAATAAATGCAGGTACGAAGTTAAAGGTTCAGCCTGAGATAGGCAGAAAACCAAACTATTTATACATCTCTAAGCAAACCACGTTTTAATACTTTCAAGATAAATCGCTAACACACGTTAGCTACGTAATGCTAGCTACAGCCTGCAGCACCAGGCGCCCACTGTTATTATCTCCAGCTTCCACAAACATCAGAATATTGGTCCCTTCCCCTACACCACTACCCGTGTTCATAAAGATAAACTGTCAGGCTTAAATTTACTTGCAGACACACTTAGCAATAGCTTCCAGCGCCATAAGAGCTTAAATAAAACAGTACTCTTATTAGCTGCAGCTATGTTTACCAACACAAGACTATCTACCAAGCTAACAAGCGATGCACTATTTGCTACTAGCAAACGCTAAACAGTAACGCTATATCCTCCACTTTAGAGAATATCTCTGGCAATGTGGACGCAGAGCTGGTTAAATTACGAGCTAACTCGCCCGGTAATTCGCTTCACAGTGTTTGGAAGTGAAATAAGCCCTAAACATGCTAGCTCCTTAGCCACAGCGCTAGCATAAAACATAAACTAACTGGCCGGTAGCAACATTACCGTCACGTCTTGAGACACAGACAGCCTGCAGGGCGTTAACAGCTTACACAGAGAATGTTGTACTTTGCGTGTCGATGCTTACCTCCAGTTCCTGAGCTTCACACTGCTCTAATAGTTTGTCAAAATTTTCCTCCATAATCACAGCAGTAGGCATGATGATGCCTAGCCGTGAACCGGGAACTTCTTCTTCTTCTGTGTCTCTGCGGGACGCTCGGGGCGCTGCTGCCCTCAGCTGGACGAAGCAGGAACTACAGCGAAATGCACCGTTCCTCAATTAGTTTTTATTTTTTCTTTATACTTCTCAAACAGCTTTAATTGTTAAATTTGGGTGCACTGTACTGTTTTTTGCTGTATTTAATGTAGGGAGAGTAGTCGAGCCACTCCATGTTTCTAGAAAAACAGCAGAAGAAACTGGTCATGTGACCAAACATTTTGGAGGAGATATCATCAAACTCTCCTGTTGAAGACAAGGAGCACATGGACTATGAGGTGAGGACATTTTAGTTAACAAAACAGTTTTTTTGCTGTTCAAAGTAAAACTTTTCATGTTTATGGTTTCATGAGTGTTGTGTCTGAACAATTATTGAGGCATTTTAAACAATTTTACATGCCTCAGTGCATTAGTGAGCTCCAATAAGAGGCTAAACTGTTAGCAGGATGTTAGCTCTACACTGCCTGGATGATGCACTGTTGATAAAATGATGGCAGTGGGGTTCGTTAGGCCAGAAAGCCAGTGGCTCAACAGACTCCTGTCTGGATGGAAGGACAGTTTTCACCTTCAAGGGAAAGGATGAGGGAATCATCTGTGGAATGATAGTGATCAAGAAACTACCAAAAACCTGGGGGAAGCAGCAGCAGGAAGCAGAAGTTTATATTCCCCTGCAGTGTGGATCAGTGGCATGTGGAATAGTTTTCCAGTGGTGTGATGAGAATCACTGTGGATTTGGAGTTGATTTTTGCAAATTTGCCTGTGTGCAGCACTGACAAATGTGATGTTCTGTATTAGCCCAGTTCTGTGAGAACTGCAGTCAATTTTCTTCTTTTCTAACTTGAATTTTGTTCTAAAAATGTGAAATATGTAGATTTTGTTGAATAAGATAGGTCTTCAGAGTTGTAAACGTTGTTGATGTTGAACAGGATTTTGCTCGAAAAGAGGTAAAATCTTTAGGCCTTATGGAAGGAAATCTGCCTTTAAAGTTGTACGTTTTATTTTTAAATATAACTTCTAAGAGGTCATTTGCTATTGAATTTGTCTTGGTTTGATACAGAATCATATGAGGCATGAAATGTTCAATTTCACTTCAACAGTTTACCCCGACGTATTTTCTCCAAAGGCTCAATTTACCGCTTGCTGGAGGCAAGTTGAGGCAAGTTTTTTTTTTCCCTGCGGAAAGCCATACTTTAAAAATGGTTTATTTTAGATCCAAACCAATTATTCCCAGGGATGCCCCCCATCCTGAAATATATGTACATGTTTTATTTTTAGACATTACTGTCATGCTTCTACTGTAAAGACACCTTGAGTAAAAACTGGTTCATCTTACCCCATTCTCCCCTAATAATGGTAATGTAATAATTGAATTAATTATTATCATCATTATTATTTCACCCTTGCCTTGAAGGTACTTTAAACAACATCTGTGTATGAGAAGGAGCTATCTGAATAAACATG